ACTTTAATGATCAGGATAGCTGCTGGGAAAGAAACACAGCAGTGCATAAACAGTCCAACAAATTCTTGGGGTGTGTTAGGGATAACTTTTTGATACTGATGGTAGAGAGGCCAAGTAGAGGAAGCTCTTCTTGACATATTGCTTGTGAACAAGGAGGTATTTGTTAAGAATATGAGGAAGGAAGGTAACTTAGGTGACTGGCCGCACCTACACAAGATGCTGACTGAACAGTTGTTACTGCACAGTGATTTAGTACTTGCATACACAAGTACTAAATCACTGTGCAGTATCTGAAATTACTGTGCAGTAGCATTCCGCAGTTGTACAGCAGTGTCACATTACACTTCATGCCAAGCAATGCAACTGTGCAATAAGCTACTGCACATTCAGCATCTCGTGTAGACATGGCAAATGACCACAAAATGCTAAGAGTTCAAGATCATAAAGGGAAGGAGGAAGGAAAGCAGCAGAATAAAGACATGGGACTTCAGAAAAGCAGACTTGGCAAACTCAGGGAACTGTTGGGTAGGATCCCCTGAAAGGCAAATCTGAAGAGAAAAGGATTCTGGGAGAACTGGCTATACTTTAAGGAGGCCCCTTAAGGGCTTAAGAGCAAGCTATTCTGATCTGATAAAGAACAGGAAGTGCAATAGAAGACCAGCCTATTTAGACAGCAATCTCTTCCATGAGTTGAAACTTGAAAAGGAATCATATAAAAAGTAGAAGCTTGGTCATAGTACTATGGAAGAGACTCTCTTGGGTGCACAGGTAGAAAACTAGGGAGGTAAAGGCACAGATTTGGGATGCAACTGGATAGGGACATAAAAGGGATTCTACATTTATACTGAAAGTAAGAGGAAGACCAAAGAAACCACAGGTGTGCAGAAGGTAATCTAATTATGGATGACAGAGAAGGATGAAGTATTCAATGCCTTTTATAGTTCACTCTTCATAAATAGTAAGCTATCAGATGATGAAAACATGGTTGGCAGCAAGGATAGGGAAGGAGTTAAACTGCCTAGAGTAGTAGAAGAACAGGTTAGAAATTAATCAGAGAAGATAAATGCTTCCAGGTCAGCAGGCCAGGATGTGATGCACCCTGGAGTACTGAAGAAATTGGCTGAGATAAATTTCAGAGCCATTACATATTCTCTTTGAGAACTCATGGATGTCAGGTGAAGTCTTGGATGGCTGGGAAAGGGCAAATATAGTGCCTGTCTTTCAGAAAGCGAAGAAGGAGGATCTAGGAAATTATAGACCAGTCAGCCTGACCTCAATATCTGGAAAGATCATGAGTCATATTCTCAAGGAATCTACTGCAAAACACCAGATTTCCTTCTATAAGGTGCCAGGCTCTGTGGATGGGAGAAAGCAATGGAGGTGATATACTTTAGCAAGACCTGTGATACTGTCTCCCATGACATTCTCATTAACAAACTAGGGAAATATAAATTAGAAGAAAGTATGATAAGGTGGATGCATAATGCATTGGATCATTTTTCTGACTGAGTCCTCAATGGCTCAGTGTCTAGTTGGGAGGAGGTATCAATTGTGGTTCCCCAGGGTGTCTGGCCCGGGTCCAGTATTGTTTAATATCTCCAGTAATGATGTGGGTGATAAAACTGAGTGGTGCTTAGCAAATTTGTGGATAACACTGATGGCCAGAAAATAATATTTAGAGGCTGCTTATAAGAATTGGCTTGAAGGTAAAGTAGATTACATTAGAACAATGGTCTATGGGAATGGCAAGGGTTAATTGGTTTTAAAAAGCCTGTTTGTGACAAAGTTTCATGTTCTCAGGTTTCAAGGCCCACTGTGTCTGAAGCCAGCAGACAAACAGGCTGGGAAATTGAAAAATGTACCACACTGTTCTCTAAAAATCTATAACAAAAGATAGGATTGCTGTGTTGGTGCCAGGTCACAGTGCCAAGCTGCAAAACCCCTGGGATTTCCAGGTTCAGTGGACAGATCCAAAATAAGACACCAGTAAATGACCAAACTGAGATATATGCATGTTATGTGTTTGTTAGAACAAAGGAATATGTTGATAGAACAGAATGTGGTCAGTATAATGATCACAGGAAGACCAATTAATGGTACCCAGAAATTAAAAGTCATCACAGGAAAAGGAATACAAAAGGAGGAATTTCAGAGCAGAAAAAGGTCCCTGAATGGGAAACCTAAGGCCACCACACACAGAGGACACATGGCCAGCCCGTCTCACCCACTCTATTGGGGTTGGGGGTGGGCTTCAGCTCTCAACCTCCAAGACTGCTGACATTCAAGAAAGAATCACAGGGTAAAGTTCGTATACTATCCACATGTACCTTCCCTCTGTGAACCCTGAAACTGGTAGATATAGAATCGGGGAGGGGGGTATTATGTTTGCCTTGCCTGCATTACTCTTATCTGCTATCACTGTGTGTGGCAGGACACCTTTGGTGCCTGCCACTTTAAGGGATAGAATAAACAACAGAGCATCCTGCAGGTGGCTGCACTCCCAATCAGGAGTCACATGGTCAGCAAGAGGCCACCTGATTGGGAAGTGGGACCAGCTGCTAGATATAAGAGCAGGCTTTGAGCAGTAGGGCCAGAAGTGTGCTGCAAGCAGCTGGAGCAGGGACATCACCTGGCTGGAGCTGCTGCTCACTTAGCATCTTGGAGATATGGGGATGGCAGGAGGTTCCTGGTCCTGAGGAATAACCTAAAACTATACCCTGCTAGGGTAGGATGGTGTGGGGCTGCCTGTGGTGGGGTGTTCCCCAGGAAATGCCATACCAGTTTCCTCCCTAGTGAAATGCAAGTATGGGGCACCTTACAGCCTCAGCCCCCACAACCTGGTAGGTAACTTGGCAAGGAAGTCGGCAGAACCAAAGGTGTCCAGAGTGGGGTAAGGAGCTCAGAATAAGTGAGGGTCAAGGAGCCCAGAGTCTGGAAGGGGCATGGAGCCTAGTGAGAGGCAAGGAGCCCAGTGGCTAGGAGCCCGAGTGTATGTGAGGGGCAAGTATGAGTGAAGGGCATGGAGCCCAATGAGTGAGGCTGAAGTTAGGGGCTGGGATGGTAATCTGGATGCCATCTGCGAGGCATGGGACATGTTATAGGGAAAGTTGGAGCTGTGTATAATGCCCTTGGCATCCAGGCACAAAATGGGCAGCCTCCTGCATTATTACATCTTCTTTTATACATTAAGTCATGGCAGGAAAGACATGGCAGACTACCTTAGGCAGGTGGGCAGGCCAGCTTTGTGCTCGGCCTTGGGACTTCCCCCTGTCACACTGTGTATCAATAACATTTTCCTATTATCAAATGGAAGTCTGGGGGTTTGGGTCTGCCTTGAATAAGGCATCTGGGTCATAAATCCAGTGCCAACTGGCAACTCCATCAGAACCAGACCCAGTACCAACAGTTGGTGACTCCACTGGGACCAGGACCCTGTGATACTGGGACCAGGTCCAGTGCCAACTGATACCAAGCTGGGTAGAGTTGCAGGCACTCTGGAGGGTAGGACTAGGCTCCAGAATTACCTGGGGAGACTGGAAAAATGGCCCCCAATCAACCAGATTAAATTCAACAAGGACAAATGCTAAGTCCTGCACTTGAGATGGAATAATTGTATGCGCAAATAGGGGAATAACTGCCTAGGCCGCAGTACTGCAGAGAAGGACCTGGGTGTACTATAAAATGAATATAAGCCAACAGTGTGCTCTTGTTGCAAAGAAAGGCTAACTGTGTACTGCACTGTATTTATGGGAGTGTCTCTTGCAAATTAAGTGAAGTGATTTTTTGACTATTCAGCACTGGCAAGGCCTCACTTGGAGTACTGTGTCCAGTTTCAGGCCTCATTCTTCCAGAAGGATGTGGACAGATTGGAAAGAATCTAATGGAGAACAACAAAAATGGGTTAGCAATCCAGGATACGCAACTTGTAAGGAAAGGCTGAAAGAGCTAGGGTTATCTAGTCTCAAGAAGAGAAGATGACTATTATTAAATCCCCCCTCAGTCAGTAAAATACTCGAAGAGTGATTATGGGAATGGGTTGGCCTTTTTCTGTGGCTATAAGGGACAGGACTAGAAGCAGTGGCTTCAAGCTGTAGCAGAGGAAATTTAGGTTGGAGGTTAGGAGGAACTTTGTAATTATGAGGGTGGTCAAGCATTGGAATGGGCTACCTAGAAAAGTTGTGGAATCTCCATCCCTGGAAGTTTTCAAGAGCAGATTAGGCTGACACTTGACTGGGATGGTTAAGTCTGGGATAATCCTGCTTTGAGCAGGGGACTCGACAAGCTGACCTTGTGAGATCCCTTCCCACCCTATTTTCCTATGATATTTGTAGCCACTGTTCATCTTTAAAGAAGTTATTAATGTCCCTTTCCCAACTCAATAGGGACCATCTCTGGTCTAATGATAATAAACAGTATTTATTAATCCTACAGATCCACTTTTTCCATCCTATGTTCTCCAAGGATACATCAATAAACTTCATTAGTTAATAAAGTCTAGTATAATACATAAGTAGCAACAACATTATACTATAGTTCCTGATAATTTCACTAGCTCCTCTCTTATTTTGTTTGCAATAAATACAAACAAACAAACAAACAAACAAACAAATAAAACCCTAATCTCCAGCACAGAAAGCTTTTGTTCATTCAACACTTTTGCTTTGCCATCCTGCAAACTCACTCCCCAGACAATGTTTTGTGTAGTTCAAGCTTGTCCACTAACTTCATTTCTTTGTGTGTCAGACCAAGAAGTGCATTGTAAGGTCCTGTGTCACATGCTGTATTTTAAATAACATCAGAGGAATTTTTCACTTGGTCCTTTGGGCACACAAAGCCTGTTCAACAGCTAGATGCCAGATCTAGCAATGAACTCATTGATATACTGCAAAAGATTCAAATTGATTATCTCAGTAGCAAAATTTAAGTTGACGGTGTAGCTAATTATCTTTCACCAGAGCTAGTGCTCAGCATTTAGCAGCTCCTATTGACTGAGTGGAAACAGCTGAGTGTGCAGCACTTCTAAAAAATCAAAACATTTGTTTGGTAATAATAATACCTCAAACAAACACCCACAGGAATGTTTGGAAAGGTTTAGTCTGATATGTTAATGGGCACTGAATTCTCTGTAGGTTTGAAATAGAACTGCAATATAGAAGTGCATTACAAATCAAATACAGTAGTATGCATGGTTGTGATCCCTTCATAAATCCACTAGATGGTGCTGTAGTATAATTTTAATTATTATTTGACCTGGTTTGAATTTTGAAGGAATGGGATAATTTTCATTTTAGTAAAAAACTACTTTTCCTTTTCAACCAGGAGATCCATATCTTCTTTTATTTTATTGCCAGATGCAGTTATCATGGAGACTTTTCAAGCCTTAAATCAAGTGTCTCTCTATGGGGTATTTATTGCACTGTATAGCAGAAGCATAACTAGGGTGGGACAAGAAGGGCACCAGCTCCAGATTTTGACTTAAAGGGATCACTGGTATGCCCTTCTTCCCCTCAGGAGTCTTTCCATGATATGCAGAGCACTGTTATAGCACAGCCATAGGGAGCTAGGTAGGCATAGATGGGCAGAGGCAACACCATGCCCAGCACTGTATCTAGCAGTGGGAGAGGGGTGAAATGACACCCTTTTCTCCCCTCTCAGAGAGCTTTGCCATGGGAGGATCAGCCTGCCCCCAGGGGTGGGGGCCTGAACAGGGCACTGCACTCAGCGGTACCAACCCAGTCCATGCTGCTAACGCAGCAGCAGTAGCAACTGCCCTTCAAATGAGAAGGTCCCGGGCAAGTAAGACTTCTCTCCCTGCTCTCCAGTAGTTATTATTCCTCATGCCCCCTCCCCCACCCCAGGTGTTTAAAAAGTTTGTGATGTCTCTCCTATGTAGACATACTCTACAACTGACTTTGTTTCCTTCCTGATCATCCAAGTCAGTGGAAGCCAACTCTTTTGGCAGGCATGCCATAAATTAGCCCCACACCCTCCAAGTACCACATTGATCCTTTTCCCCATACTTAATCTACTGCTCTGCTTTCTGTTTCCTGCACTGTGCTCCCTGCCTCATGTGATGCTTTGCGTTCTGCTCCTTGCTGTATCTGCACGATGCTGCCTGTCCCCTCTCCAATCTGCCACATGCCATACACAGAGGCTATCCATGCCATTTGTGCCACAGGTTGGCCATTACTGATCTGATTTTTACTTTACAGGCTCTGGAATGGGCTCCCAAGTGAGGTGGTACTCTCTCCTACCTTGGGGGTCTTCAGGAGGAGGCTGGACAGATACTTGGCTGTGGTGATATGACCTCGGCACCCGTTCCTGCCCCGGGCACGGGGTCGGACCTGATGAAGTTTAGGTCCCTTCCAACCCTAAGTACTATGATACTAAATGTCCAGATCTGGTCATCTATACCAGTGGTTCTCAACCTTTTGTCCCTTATGTCCCACCAATCATTGGTTTCCAAAACCCTGGTTCCCACCATGATAAATGACGAGTAAGTGGAGTGTTGGGGGGGGGGATCCCCGGCAGCAAATCGAGGTCCTGCTTCCCTCCCCCAGGGTCCCTGCCACCCTACGGGCACAACTTGGTATGGCTGGCAGTAGCAGGTGTAGTGAAAATAGATACTTTTCTCTATGTTTCTTTGT